TTGCACGAAAACAAAGCTGTCGCAATCACGATGATAAAAAAACTACAGGGAGTAGAGATTAAATCCTATATAATGAAAGAAAAAATCCATCGACTGATCAATTTAAACTGTTGGAAATAAAAGGACACATTACCGAAGTACAATAGAGACTTGATAAATAGTCCCTACATTATTTCATTTGCTCTGTGCTCTGTGGATTGAAGCGAGACCACCCCCCCTTCAATCAGCTTCTCTTGTAGGGAAAGGTTTGGACTACAAGACTTGTATATTTTTTCCCAAAATAGCTCATACAATTATACAGGGTGTTAGGGAAATAATATTCGTAACTTTAAGAGGTGATTCCTTGCATTATTCTAAGCAAAAAAGTTCATTGTATCCTATGCCCGGAAATCAACCGTTTTGGACCAAAAAATGCTGAACTTATTTCTTTTTAGTCATGAAATAAATTAATTTTACACCTTTTAAATTCATGTGCCTAATGGCGTAAATTGTATCAACACATCTATTTATTGATTAACTGTCTCTAACAAAATAATTTTCTTGCTTATTAAATACAATTTTCCGAGGAAAAACAGACAAACAAAATCCCTCATACAACTGGCAACGTCGTACTTCGCCTGCAATGCATGTATCATCGCGTGTTGTTTTGATTACTAATACATTTAACTGTAACTAGGATGTTGGTTCTCTTTCTCTTTTCGTGCATCGAATCGTTGCAAATAAGTGACTGATAATGGTGGGAATTGCTGGTGTGTACCGCCATGTACCGGTAAGTTGTGTCATTTTTTTAAACAAATGTATCGTACTAAAAGAGTTATTAAATAAAAAAATATTAGCCAGAAAGATGCGTAAAAGTATTCAACAATTCAAGGCATATTTTCAACAAAAATATCATACAAATGTAAACAACTCGATGAATCGTCGTGCGCTCGTATCGCGTTACAGTGTTTCCAAATGTTTGAGAAAAGTTAATTATTTACGACTCACTTTCCTCCAAAACGATTGATTTTCGGACATAAGTTATAATGAACATTTTTTGTTGTTAGACCAGAAGAAAATACTTCAAACCAAAATTTGGATATTTTTATGTTTCCTATTTTTTTACTACGTCGCCCTGGGTATGCCGTTATGGGCTTGTTTAGGCCGACTAATTTGCGAGATGTCGCATACACAGGCTACACTGTGAGTATCTTTCAGTCTAGTGGTCATTTTAAATATATTTTAACATGAAATTGTAGTTTATTTTCATACGAAATTTAAGAAACAAATATGGTGCGAAACCGGAAGTAAACGCTCTAAGCCATAGTTTGGATAACTTCACCTTCTTTTATTCTGATTCTTTTTACTCCAAAATAATAGTAAAAACCTAGAGGGTGCTAAATATTTAGATGATAATAGAGCTCCATGAGTTTTCAAAAAGGCGTGTTCCTGATGTCAAAACGTAACACGCTTTGGATTTCAAAACGAGACATAAGGAGAACCCGAATCGACATTCAGTACGTTCTTAGGAATGCTTTAATGTGGCTTCAAAGAAAACAGTTCTAGTGTGCATTAACGAGCTACAATTACCATAAATGTAGGTGTAAAGCAGAATAAGAATTCCCCTATTTGTCGATAAAAAACGAATTATAAAACGGAAAATTGCCCTCTGGTTGATTTATCGCTTCCTGAATTCTCCCACGCACCATTTTTATCGTTCGCTTTATGGTTTACTGCTCCAGATTATTGCTTTGTCAAATATGTGTAATATTTTCCCCGCATTGCAGTAAAGTTTGCACCTGGGACACTTATGGAATTTTTTACTTTCGATTTTGAGCACAGTGCTTCATGGTTCCTTTAGGGAATTGTTTCCATTTCAGAATCTACATAAAGCGGGGCAACAGTATTTATTTTGCTGGACAGCATATTAACTCTTTTACTAAGGACATCAATTTTGCTATTCTGCTTTTCTATAAATTTCATAAATAATATTCCGTAAATGTTGAAAAGTCATGCTGTTGAAGAAAATACTATTTGATTGGAGCCACAAAATGTCCTTACTTGTAATAATGCCTTCCAAAGAACATGTTTCTTTCCCCATCGTAATCTCCATGAAAAAATGTTGCCACGCCTTTTTTATAAACAAGATGAAATGGTAGTGTGATTTTCCTTTTTTGCTCAATCAACTAATTAATTAGTAAAACACTATAAATGAAATCTAAGGGTCAGCCAATGCAAAAAAACTGTCAAGTGGTGTGCAAACTTAGGCCCTAGCTCAATAAAGCGGAGAGTAGTGGGGGTTAAGAGCGCCAGTGACTTAAGACAAATTAAGCCACAAGTATCCGAGATTGTTAGTCGGAACTTGTTTTGCTTTACCACCACACAAAAGAAAAGCATCTAACTGGAATGACGTATCCTAATTAGGTGTATACAGAGAGTCAAATAAAACAAGATATTCAAAAGAGAATCACAATATATTAATAAAACAAGCAGCCACCACTGGAGTGCAAGTTAAAAGAAAGAATATTATTCAAAACTACCTGACAATAGCATTATTAGAGCGCAATATTTAACTATCTTTTTCCAGTTACAGCTCTAGACGCAGCCGAGATGTCTTCAGGTCACAAACGCTCAGGTCAAAACCAGTGGCCAGTAGTGGGCACGTCACAAGGTAGGGGCTGCTTGCCTCCTTCCCAAAATTTACGGTATAAAAAATTTCAGCGAGAGAGAGACTGCTTGAAAATTTACTCTCTACTCTCTGCCTGGAACAAAACTACTCAAACTTGAAGAAAAACCATGTACATTCTCTTTTACAAGAAAAGTCAAGCAAAGGCATGAGAAGATGAAAATGTATCCCTTGTTCTGAAAGAAAGTTATACCGGCTCAAAATTCAAAATCATGATCAATGTAATGTAGTAAGCACAAAAGAAGGTGACATGTAGGCACTGCCCTATATTTGAATACGAAAAATGCCAAACAAGATCAAGAAGACTATAGGAACTTCAGTCAGCAATAATCAATATATCAATACCTATAAAATACCCAAATAGATATTTTACCTGCTCACATCAGGTGTTTTTTTTGTCAATTGGTGGCTTTCAGCAAAATCGGCTGCGAAGAAGCTACAAGACATATACAAAACAAAGCTGGAGGAGTGTGAATGGTGGTTCTCCGCAATGCCTTTCCACTAAAAGGAAGCAGATATTGAACAAACTTCTTCAGGACATGAATTGAAGCTCGTGGTCCAATGGTATGCAAAAGAGAGCTTACGGCTGAAGGTTAGAGTGGCATTACAAAAAGGACGGGGTAGCACCCAAACCAACACAACTAAACGTTAGATACAAAATCAAAGGGTACTACTCCATAATCTGGTGTTTTCGGCGTTAATATCTCATAATCTAGGAGTTAACGAAACAACGCTCACACCATACCTCAGCAGGAAGAAAAGAAGATTAACGCTGGACCCTTCTGCACGCAACCCTTAAAACAAGGTATCTTGATAGTAAATCAAATTTCAAAAGAAGGTATCTTGATAGGAGAGCAAATATTCCTATACGGCTAGTATGTGTAGAAATCACAAGGTGGCACTGGTTGCAAATGGGCAGAACCATCTCTACGAGGGCGCAACGATATTTTATGAGGAAATTTCTGAGATAGTCGTTAATAATACTATAATATTAGAGTCTAAAGGATTTCCACACAATACTCAGTCGCTGAGAAAGAAACATATAATACTTGTGAAATTATACAACCATCAGACTATGGCATTTGCCAAAAGAAATCATGTAAAAGGGTTTGGTCCAGGAATTGGCATCCTGCCATTAATAAATAAAAATTAAAATTACTGATAGGTGATTAAAATAGTAAGAAAAAGATTACGTGATTTTGGCACGAGACAATGGCGCACTTCCTACTCAACGCTGTCAACAATTCAAAAAAGATAAACCTACAAAGAAATCTGATATGTTCAAAATCTATGTCTAGCAGGTGCGTACCGGGACTGGAGGAGCGTGAAAATACTACCGCCAAAAATTTCAGAGGGTGAATCTTCAATTTTTACAAAAAATTCTTTAAAAACAGGAATTATTGTTACTTGAAAAAACGAAGTCTGAGCGAATTTCCTATCTTCTCTTCGTGCATCTAGCTCTGCCGCCTCTGGACCTTTTTTTCTAAGATTCAATGCCTTTTCATTCTTGCCACAATAGTAACCTTGTGTAAAGAATGCATCACAATCCGGGCAGTACTCCCCAATACATAGACAGGTTAAGGTGCAGTGAAGAGACAGATAGACCGACGGATCAACGGCAATGCTTTTCCTGATACAGCATTCGAAAAGCATAATATCTCATTTTCGTAATTTTCCGTCATTACAATGTTTCCTCTTCAGTGACGCGGGAAGTAAAATGAGCGTGAATTCTTACCAAGAGATCGGCTCATTTCTTATGAGTTCCTCCTTATAAAAATCATCCGTTACTGAATCGTGGCGACTTAAAATGATACACGCGCAGTGAAATTTTTAGGTCAAGTCAATGAAAACTGCGCTAAAAATAAGTACAGAACTACACTCTTTAGATCAGGGTTTCCCAACCTTCTCTTTGTTGAGGCTTCCCGGACTATAAATTATATTTTCATGCATGCCTTTACTTTTTCAATAAATACAAAAAAAGCAGATTAGGTACAAAGACTTTTATTTTAGTCCTAATAAAGAAACTTTAAAGTTGAAATAACCCAACAAATGTTTTTTATCGAAAACCTTGAATAAAATAAGAGTAGGTACCAACGAGACACTTGAGATTGCATGGTCTGTACCAGTTGGTTGATTCTAGGTCCTGTTTTTGCCAGAGCTATCATCAGGTCGCTATTGACATTAAGGCGATTTCGCTGTTTAGTTTTAATTAAAACTAGAGCAGAAAAGCCTGTCTCACATAAGTAAGTTGAAGAAAAAGAAACTAGCATTCGTGAAGCAAGAGCAGTAAGTGTCGAACTAACAGGCAACGTTTGGATCCAAAATTTCTCCAATGTTAAAAGCCTTTCATGGACGAATCAGCCTTCATTTCTAGAAATTCTTCCTGAACTTCTTCTGGTAATTGTGACATATCGACAACAAATGGATTTCTTGTCATGTAACATATTGGTGACTCTGAATTGATGTCTCGATAGTATCGGCGATATTCGTCTTCCAGTGCTTGCAAATGAGTTTTTATGTCAGCTTTTAAATTTGCGTCCAGTATGTTATTTTTAATTGCTTCGAACAGATGAGAAAAAGATATAACATTTTCAGAAGACACTTTTTGATTCCAAAGTTGAAGCTTTGATATGAACCCCTGAATATAGTCATAATTGCTTATTATAGTGTTGTTTCTGCCCTGAAGTTTCAAGTTTAGCTCATCCAAGGAGTCAAATATGTCAGTTAAATAAGCCAACCTCCATTGAAATGTGTCATCTTTGAACATTGTCAAGAAATCATGTTTTTCTTTGTACTGAAGAAAAATAATTACCTCTTCTTTCAATTCATAAAGGCGAGCCAACATGTTGCCTTTGGACAGCCCCCGTACTTCTGTATGGAACAGAAGAACTTTGTGATGAGAATCGAGATCCTCCCAAAGTCGAGTGAATAACCGACTGTTCAAAGCGCTGCTCTTGATGTAGCTTACAATTCTTATAGCCGAGTCCAAAGTCTGGCGTAATTTCTGTGGCAATGTTTTGGAAGCCAAAGCTTGCCGATGAACAACAAACACAATGTATACTAACCATTGCGGGATTTGTTCCTTGAGCTTTTTAGCTAAGCCCGATCGTACACCTATCATTGCAGGTGCGCCATCTGTGCAAAGTCCAATGAGTTTCTTCCAATCCAAATAATTTTTTTCAACAAAATTTGATATAGAATTAAATATGTTATATCTTCAGTACCTGCTGTCAAAGATTTGGAGTACAAAATCTCTTCTTGAATGATATCTGCTCCGATGTAACGAACATAAACTATTAACTGTGCTCTATTAACAATGTCGGTGGATTCATCGCAATTAATGGCAAAACATGGCGATAATTTTACTTTGATGATTATTTGTGACTTTATGTCTGTTGCAATGTCATCGATTCTACGCTTGACTGTGTTATTCGAAAGAGAAATAGACTTCATTTTTTGATCTGCATCTTCTCGTAAAAATATCTGCGTGGCTTTTAGGACACATGGCTTTATTAATCCTTCACCGATAGTATGAGGTTCCTTTGGCTTTGCTATCATAAAAGCTATTTCAAATGAAGCTTTGAGATGCTGCGATACATCTGTGTGATAACTTTCCGATTTGTCCAGTCTCATCCGTTTCAGTGATTCTGCTTTAGAAGGAAAAAACTATTTCGTCCTCAAGACCAGAGTAGGATGTTGTTGCTTTAAATGCCTTTCAAGGCGATTAGGCTCATGCTGTCATTACTTAAAACTTCCATGTGAAGGTAGATTCAATCTTAACGTAATCTTCGGAAAACTTCCTTTCTTCGCTGCCATTTTGCACGTATAACAATAAAACAAATAAGTAATAAATAAATAAGCAAAATACCTACATGTAATTACTACACCGGGAGATTTATATTTTTGTAGGCAGTTTGACGTTATAATAGTAATTTTAAATACATTTGGAATCAATATTAGCTAGATACTTAAAGTTCGTTTCAAAATTATTTCGCCACGTTAGTTTGATTGTGATGTGGTAAGAAGTCCCAATGGATGATCTATGAACGCGTCTCCACTCAATCAACAATCTAGTAAATTAAATGTAAATGGTAACTGAAGTTTTCAAATACACAAACTTACCTTTTAATAATGAGACACAATAATTTGACACACTCAAACAGATTTCTCAACAAAAGATGTACATCGAAACGTCAAATTTTTCGCAAGTTTGTGGAAATGAATGTCACAGATGCTCATTCGCGTCTGGTACCGGTAGGTACACAATTTTTTTCTAAGTGATGAATGTTAAGGGGAGCGCGGCGGGGGTGCGCGGCGGGGGTGCGCGCTGATTTCATGTTGTGACTTGTCGAAACTTGTGTAAACTGCGATTGATGACGCCGGGTTTTGAAACAGCGGTTGATAGAATAAGTGAATATGATATTTAATTTCTAATTTTATGCGTGTAAATTAAACATTACATTGTAATGTTATTTGTTGATGTTGTTTGCTTATTTTTTTTGTTTTTTCTTTCTAAAATGCCCCCCTTGACATCTCTCTATGCCTCCCTTGGGAGGCGGGTCCCCCTGGTTGGGAACTCCTGCTTTAGATTATAGTAGACTGACTGAGATGTCGACGTAATATCCTGGTTGATCATTAGATATGTATCCTATTTCGTTACTAAGTAAAGGTCTATGCTTAGAACAAACCCTTAGTGTTAGACATAATGTTATTCAAAGCTACCGACAGAAGCTTGCCAAGACAGATTTGTAATAAAACTACTTCATAAAGTGATATTTCAAAGAAGACATGGATAAACACAAGACTACAACTGACCGATTGCTACTCTCTTGGGGTTATTCCTCGATAGGCCTTCGAATAAATTTCATCAACCTGATTCTACCTTGGAACATGTTTCTTCCATTCCTCCCCCCAGCGTTTCTTTTAACCTCATCAGTCAGGATCCACCGAAAGATAAATCAAGCACAACGCCAAATTGGCCAGAACTAAGCAGAATATCATCGTGTCTGCGGCTCTGGATCAATCGAATTTTCGGTTCAATTTAATTTACCGCTCAATCGTGCCTTCCATATCTCACCGAATTCAAACGTAATATAAATTATTAGTTTTTCAAACCCCGGTCGTCGGTACATACCAGTGGTTGCGAGAGCAACTGACAAATAGTTCTCAGTCGCCTGTCAGAGCGGTCAGTAGGACCTTTGTAGATGACACTGTGTAACGAAATTTTAAAAAAAGTTTTAAAAAACGTTTCGCTCGTTTATCCATTTTTATTCCGCTTGTTTATCCATTTTTATTCCAGCACCTACTATTTTTCAGGGACAGAGATTAACAATTATTAGTAAAATAAATGAAAAACTAATGTCCAGTATACAGGGTGATTCACAAGTCGTGACCAGGAATGAAACATCATACACACGATTTTAAGGGGGGTCTTCTATTTTTTTTATACTCCAACTCCCACGAAGGCCTAAAGTCTAAACACCCATTGGGTACCGCGGGGCTATAGGGGGATACAGGGGAAAGAGGGGACGCCACACGGACTCTGGCGAGGGAACACGTGTGCATGCAACATGCACACATTCTGGCCCCGCCTCAGAAATCCGCCGGGTGGTACCTCCGCGTTCGACAGTTAGAGACCATCTACCACCTACGGACAATCACAACATCCATAGCCAAGAGAAAAATTTCTCCTGGGACGGGACTCGAACCCGCACAGCGCACGGCGACTGATCAGGAGACCGAAGAGTCTACTACTGCGGCCACCGCTGCCTATGTTATATTTTTCCCTTGAGGGCTTCATAAAAAAGTTTAAGAAAAACAACTTTTTTTAATATCTTCAAGGCCTTCGACTGGAAATAACTAAAATTTGTTATGGTATGTGAATCAGTCTACTTTTCTGTATTAAATAAAATAGTTGTAAGAAAACCGACGACAAGGCTTATTATTGTTATATTTGCTCACATTGTAGATATCGGGTAAATATTCTATGTTGTACACAAAAAGACAAATATTCCTTTTTGTTTTATGTAGGCTAGACGCTTCTTATTCCAAAAGCTTGCAGTAATGTCGTTACATACCTCTATCTTAACGATTTTGAATCCTAAAAAATCTGAGTAGTAGGCGGCTCATTATTACAGGGTGTTCTTTTTTTTTATGCACACTTAGTATAGATATTGTTTCACACAGTGTTGATAGAGTAATTGGCAGAATTAGGCTCAATATGTACTTTGTGTTTCCGAATGAGTCATTTCGATCAGCCGGTTATCTACCTATTTTAATATTTCAGCCAAGTTACTTCGGAATCTGTAATAAACCAGGACCCAGAACTCCACCAGCGCTGTATCATCATTGAAAGGATAGGCTTCAAAGTTACTGGGTCGAGAAACATCGTATGTACAAAATAGAGAGAGGATTGATCCGAGAACCGAACTTCAAAGGTCAGCGGCTCTAAGTATACTTTACTAACTTTAACTTGAAGCTTTCTACGTTCAAGGGAGGTTTCTAAAAGTCTAAATAAGTAGATAAGCTGAAAAGTGTATTTGTATTGCAAATACTCCAAAAAACGGGAGCAAGCTTCCGGAAGACTCCTGATCAACACTCTATTCCATTTATATGGATTTTATTGTAAGGTGACTAAACAGAACAAGCATATTCAAAAGTCTATCTTACCATTGCATAGTATGCGTCTTTTAAAAAGAACATGATTTTAAAATCCTTCAATGTTAGAACAACAAGCCCCGGTAGCTTCACTTCCTGGTTAGTTAGGTACTAACGTACAAGTCAATGTGATAGAAATATGATTCATGACAACCTTGACGTCTTTTATGATACTAGCTTTTTCCGTTATAGTACAGATTTAAGGTGATAGTTAAAATAAATTATTTTATACAGGGTGTTTCAGTTTATTGTTGCATAACTTTAAGATTCGATAGAACTTTTAAAATTAATGCATAAAGTCTATATAAACATGGGTCGAAAAATGCGTGGCTTCCGAAATACAGGGTGTTTAAATTTACTTTCTAAAATAGTTTTTTTTTAAATATTTCGAACAATATTTGATGTATAACAGTGAAAATTGGTACACAAGGGTTTTTTGGTACGACAAAACGAACCATGGGCATAGTTTTACTGTAGCCGCTAGAGGGCGCTCTGTACTGTACCTGTAGTGTATTAAAATGACCGAAAAAATTTTCCTAGTGCAATTTTTTGCTTTTTGAATAAAAAACTAATTCTTCGAACTTTTCCACATAAAAAAGCTCTCGTGTGAGTTTTCGTTATAGTTAGCCGTTTTTGAGATATTTCGATTTTTAAGGTTCGATGCATTTTTAATTATCTATTATAAAATAACGTTAAAAAGTCAGTAACTTGATAATTTTTAGAAGTAGGCTGTGCCTGCAAATACTTTTAAAGTTGAAAGCAGAATAAGGTTAAACGTCAATTAGTTGACAGTTAGTTTTGTTGTCTGTTGAAACCTGAAACGTTTTTTGCAATTGTGAATGCACGAAATTTAGTTTCTCTTACCTGTTTTTTTTTGTAAGTTTTATAAAAATGCCATTTTTATTCTCCAATTAAGAGTTAGCGGATATTCATTTTGTGTATGGCTTTGTAAATGGAAACGCAGCAGAAGCAGCCAGAGAATACGCACGAAGATTTCCAAACAGACGACATCCAACTCGCTCAGTATTTGTAAGAGTGCATCGCCAATTATTTGAAAATGGTTTTGGAAATCTCTAAAGGGATCAAAACATAAATGTTTGTCAGCGCAGATTTACCCGTATGATTCTGCGTAAGTTTAATAGACATCCGACCACAAGTGTTAGGAGAGTTTCTGGTGCCTTGGGAATTTCATCAAGCCATGTTCACCATGTTCTTAGAAATGACCATAGACGTCCTTACCATTTGCAACCTGTGCAAGGACTACAGCCAGGGGACGGAGAACGAAGAATCACATTTTGTCAGTGGATTCTTGATAGAACTGATAATAATAGGGAGTTTTTAAGTAACGTTTTATGGACCGATGAGTCATGCTTCACTAGACGTGGAGTGGTAAATTTTCATAATCAACATATTTGGTCGCATGAAAATCCGCATTCAGTTCGGGAAAGAAATTTTCAGCATGAATTTAGTGTGAACGTGTGGATTGGTATCTACCGTAATCGACTATTTGGACCCTACCTTTTGCCTGCAAGGTTAAATGCTGCGACCTTCTTGGAATTTTTAAAGGCTGAACATGCAAATATGTGGGATGATGTTATGTTAGACTTAAGAAGATTGGCCTGGTTCCAGCTTGATGGTTGTCCAGCTCATTATTCGAGAATAGTTAGAAACTGGCTGGACGAAAATTATCCAGAAAGATGGATCGGCCGTGGAGGACCAGTCGCCTGGCCTCCACGATCCCCTGACCTAAATCCATTAGATTTCTTTGTGTGGGGATTTCTAAAACAAAAAGTGTACCAGACTTCCGTAACCACAAGAGATATGCTAATAGACAGAATCAGGAATGCATATGATGAAATACGGCCTAATTTGAAAAATGCTATACCACGTTCGATCATTAGTAGATGTGAATTGTGTATTGAACAATTGGGTTTACATTTCGAGCAACTACTTTACATTTTGTATGTTTGTCATAACTATCCAATAGCAT